AAATAAGAGGAAAAAAAGGAGAAGGCATGATTTGAGCTTCAGCCAGGCAGTTCTGAAAAGTTGATTCTTGATTGAATCAGGATAGATTTTTTCTTTCACTTGCACCATCACCACTAATAAAGGCTCTGAATAGAATCACTGTTCTCATTTAATTCTTTGCAGCTAAATTTCCTTCAGACCATGATGTTCCTATTCCTTACCATTGTCAACAGGTTTCCACAGGGGAAACAGGATGAAGCTTTCTAAGTTTTTCTGCTAGTGATTACAGAAAAGAGAGAATCTGCTCCATCTTCCAGAATAGTGTCAGTTTCGCAGGAGAAGCTGAAATAAAAAGCAGCAGTTCCTTATTTATTTTGTGATATCTAGGCCAACACTATGAACAGCTCCCTGGTTATATTCAATTTGCTGATACAAAAGAAGAAAGAACAGGCTTCTTTCAGAGTAAAATACCTCCCTAAGGTTGTTGTTATCACTCAAGGCCTCCATAATTCCTCAGTGAGCAGAAATTCAGTTTCCCCAGAAGTCATCTACAAATCCAGACCTTCTATTTTTAAGACCTGCTATCAGCATTTATGCACATTCCCCTTTTCATAGAATCATAGAATGGTTTCAGTTGGCAAAGACTTTCAAGATCATCGCGTCCAACCATCAATCCAGCCCTACTAAGTCCAATACTACACCCCATCCCTAAACACGACATCTACTCATTTTTCAAACACCTCCAGGGATGGTGACACCACCACCTCCCTGGGCAGCCTGTTCCAGTGCTTGACCACCCTTTGGCACCCCCCCCCCCCCCCGGGCCAGCCTGTTCCAGTGCTTGACCACCCTTTCAGTAAAGAAATTCCTCCTAATATCCAACATAAACCTCCCTTGGTGCAACTTGAGGCCATTTCCCCTGGTTCTGTCACTAGCTACCAGGGAGAAGAGACTGAGCCCCACCTCGCGACAACCTCCTTTCAGGTAGTTGTAGGGGGTGATAAAGTCTCCCCTCCATCTCCTTTTCTCCAGACTAAACAACCCCAGCTCCCTCAGCTGCTCCTCATAAGACACGTTCTCCAGACCATTCACCAGCTTTGTTGCCCTTCTTTTGACAGTCTCCAGCATCTCAATGTCTGTCTTGTACTGAGAGGCCCCAAACTGAACACAGTATTCAAGGTGCAGCCTCACCAGTGCCAAGTACAGGGAAAGGATCAATCCCCTGCTCCTGCTGGCCACACTATTCCTGATGCAGGCCAGGATGCCATTGGTCTTCTTGGCCACCTGGGCACACTGCTGGCTCATGTTCAGTCGACTGTCAATCAACACCCTCAGGTCCCTTTCTGCCGCTTTCCAGCCACTCGTCCCCAAGCCTGTAGCGCTGCATGGGGTTGTTGTGACCCAAGGGCAGGACCTGGCACTTGGCCTTGTTGAAGCTCATACACTTGGCCCCAGCCCATTGATCGAGCCTGTCCAGGTCCCTCTGTAGAGCCTGTCTACCCTCAGGCAGATCAACACTCCTGCCCAGCTTGGCGTCATCTGCAAACTCACTGAGGATGCACTCAATTCTCTTGTCTATGTAATTGAGAAAGATATTAAACAGAAGTGGCCCCAGTACTGAATTCTGGGTAACACCAAGCCCACAACCTCTCAAAAGCACTCTCTCATTATAATTTTCCTTGTCCCTGTAATTTTTAAGCTTATGTTACTAGTTTCACACTGAAGTTTCTTATAGTTTTTAGTCAACTGACTCGTCCTTTATAAGGCCCTAAAATCCATCCCGTGGTTACAGCAACGGTTACACCTCTGGGGTGTGAGTACTACCCATCTGCATCCATGTTCATGCCTTATTCTTACCTTTTCTATGGCATCTATAGTGCCACTTTCTGTCTAGTCTTCGGTCTTCATTATCTGTTGCACCAACTATGTCTGACAGGGTTTGAACATCTAAGCTCTTCTCTCAAGGAGTGCTACATGATGAAGCAGCTCCCTCAAAATGAGAATCCTGCCAATTTTAACAGTAGGAAGTATACAAAAGGAAGAGGAAAGGCAATTTAAACACCATCTACATGCAAGGGAAAACCTCTTTTGATACTTAATTATGTTGTTTTTCATGCTTTCCTAGAGTCTGTTCCTCAAATAGAGTTTTATGTTCATCCATGTGTTTTTTACTTGTAAAATCACTTGAGTCAGCAAGTTCACAGGTAACAACACTTGAGCCTCTAGTTCAACATGATCAACTCTCCTTTTCAACTTGTGTTCTGCAAACAGTAGCATTGTAAACCAAAATACATTGCTATAGTTACTGCACCGGGAATTACATCAACATATAGCAATCATAAATTACAGATTACAAATTCATGTCATCCCTTACACTCAAAAATATTTCCTTGTCACTCTCCTCCTCAATATTCTCTTCTACCACTGTTCCTTATCTGACTTACTCATTCTGTCTTCTCTTTTTTGCATTACCATGAGACAAAGCATTTTCTTTAGCATTCACCATGAAGTAAAGCATTTGGGTTTTTCTAAAGTGCCTCAGACATGCAGAGCAATGTGTAACTACTTAGTAACAAGAATACTAATGAGGAAAATGCAATTTTGTAAGTAGTTGGAAACAGGCGCATCAAAGTTCCTACTCTCTCACGGAAGCTAAAAAAATTTGCATAACATTAAATAGTCATATTGCGTGTCCATGCAAACTGCAATTCAAGTTAGGATAAAACAGATGTGTTGTTAAAACGCGTTTTCTATGACCCTGGATCTTTATTTAATAGTAAACAAATAATAAATAATAAAGAGAGCATTGGTTTAATGTCACTATTTAAAATAATCAATGACTACCTAATAAATAATTCTAAACCAAGATTTTGCATTTTTTTGGATTGTACGTGTATTTCCTCTTAGATGTTAATGCATGGCCTGAAAATAACTAGAAAAAACAAACAAACAAACAAAAGTACCATGACTGTAAAATCCAAGGAAAATGTAAAGAAAAAGATCTTGCCAAATACAACATACAACTCACATGGAGTTATTTGTCAAAATTCCCAGTGCGAACAACGGAAATGTTAGAGCTGCTTTTTGAATACAAGTTACAGGAGATTTTGTAGCACAAATATTAAGCAGCTACATAAATATGTCTCTCAGCTCCCACTGTAAACAGAAGAGGTGCACTAGGGCTAGTTCCTTGATCTACTCTGTTTCCCTTGACTTGTTGTGGAGGGTTATAGCATCCTGAGTGTTAGGATTGCTAGGATGAAGCAGCTGCCTAAATCTGCTCCATTTAGAACACATTAGATAAGTGCCTAAAAGGGAATGCAAAAAGAGCTGGGACTGTGGTGCAGAAACCACATTGTGGCAAGACACAGTAGCAGCTGCAGCGTGGGCTGCAGGACTCGCAGGAAGCTGAGCCAAGAAGTACTTACCTGGTGCTTTCCAGAAATGCATTGAGGGAAATGACTATGCCATCATGTATATTAACTACAATTTATGTGTTCTAGAAAAATTACTTTAGAGAAAGCACGCAGAGTGTTTAAAATGTTCCTGAGAATGACTGTCATGCTTTGTTCCCTGTAAAACAAGGTAATTTTGCTGCCTCTGACGAATGGAAAAAGAGATTTGAAGAACAAGGCTACAGAGAATAACAACTTTCCATGCAGATATTGTGCTATTGCAGTCCAGCACCAAGGAATGAATCATGTAAGCAGTTCTTTAAAGCCTGAGAATGTTTTATGGGCTTGGCAGCACGCAGGTACTTTTGGCAATCAGATGAGATACCCAGGACCACACAGTTAGAACACACTGCCAGAGAGAAGCTGTAGGCTTTTAGGCAGCATTAAAGTTGGCCACTGCTGTGTGCAACCTCTGTGACACAGAAATGGCCAGCTTTGGTAGAAATGTTGTATCTGGAAATTAAAAGACAAATCCATGTAGGCCAGTCTGAGTAATGAAGAGGGAAATTGGTGGTGATTGCTACTATTACTTTCATCCACATATTGCCCTTCATAAATAAATAACCTGGAAAAGGTCAATGTCTTCTGCTTCATCACGGTATTCCAATTCTGTTTTGGCTTCTTGAATTTCAGGATGATATTATTCTGTCCCAACCTTAGAAGTGACTCAAAGAACAGCTCTTTTTTCTTATTCTACAAATACTGTCTTATTGTGCAGTTCAGCTTTTCAGCTTGGGAAGTTATCTAGAAGAGAAAAAATACTTTCCAAGAATTATCAACTGGGGGAGGGGATCAAAATCTCATTTGGAAGTCCTAAACGGAGAAAGGAAACAACTTGTCGCTTGTAAGGAAGGGAAAATTTTGAAGACCCTCAAGGAATAAGTCTAACAGGGATCTCTACCCACTTGATTTTGTCTCTTGTACTCTCCAGTGGTTAAGTACTCGGTCAAGGTCACCTTTCTCTTGGTTAAGGAATATCTAGTGGTGTTTGTGCACCTGTTCAAGTAGTTTCTTTTCAAAAGGCTTCAAAATACGGCCTCTTCCTTTGAATCTCTGCACCCGATTGTACGTTATGTTTTTGCAACAAGTGAAAAAAGGAAGGACAGATACCAAGTTCTTTTGCCTCCCAATATAGTGCAGAAAAAATAGCTGTCTTTACAACACAGGTGCTGACTGGGTAGTGCCTGTTTACCCTAATGAGCTTAAAGTCTTATTTGTAGTGGACATCTGTCAAGACGTAAGTGAGGTATGCAAGTACTCTTCATCCATTAGCTCTAAGTCCAGCAGAGCTTTCACACTCCTGATTTGAATTGAAGAAGAAAACCTGAGTGGGAATGTACAATGGGACAGTGCACAACTTCAAAGGCAGATCCTGGGCAGTAAGCACATGAGATTTCAAGGAAAACGACAGTGAAAACTGACAACAAAATGGGGATTGTGACAGAAAACTCGTGAGAAAAAGGCCAGTCTGCAGTTCAGGATGAAACAGTGAGTTTGATTCTTTGTTGTACTTTTCCTAGTTGATCTGGATTTTTAATAAAAAGTAAAGACAAAGACAGAGAAAGGATGGGCTGCACACCCTCTCACAGTGAGGTTGCTGATACTATTGCAAGAAGTAGTCTTAAGGCTTTGAATAAACCCAAAAGTATTTTGCATATTGCTCCAGGAGATAAAGGAATCCCACTACTTGTTAAAGGTTCATCTTGCTACAGCATTGATGAATTCCACCAGTGTGGGAGCCAGAGGAAAGACTGCCTGAGAGAAAAGGACAATAAACTATCAGAGCAGGATGAAAATGATAATTTGCAGTTATCTTCCAAGGCTCATTCAGATCCCCAGATTTCCAGGGAAGACAAGAAAGTTGAGAGGACAGCCACAGATGCTGAAGTTGTTCTGTCCGAATTGATTGAGTCTCAGAAGCATATCACTGAGGCCATACAGATCAGAAAGCAAAGCTCCTGTGGATCAGAAGCATCAGCTTTCATTTGGGATGACAAGAATGAAAGCAATTCAAAGCAAATCCTAAAGAGAGGAAAGAAGCAAAAAAATCATAAGGTGGCAAAGCAAGGTCGACCTAGCAAAATTAAAGAAAAGTCCGTTTTGCCCCCGAGGGAGACAGAGAAAAAGGTAGATTTCCCTGAACTGCTTGTTAAGGCTCATCAGAGTACATATGCCTACTTAAATCCCAACCTCTGCAAGTATGAAACTATACTTCACTTGGCCAACCAGGCTACCCAAACTCGGCTCTTCTTACAGCAGATGGTAAGTTTTCTTGTGCTTCGCTTTGATGAAATCAACCAGCTCTTGGAAGAAATTGCCAATGATGGGGAAAATCTTCTCAAAGACGTAGGTGAGAATCTGGCATGGCCAGCAGAAAAAGGTGATTTGAAGGAGCACCCTGATCTTCTGCAGCAACTACTGCAGTATACGGTCAATAAAATGCAGTTAGTGAGTGGGACTCTGGCCTCCCTCACCTCCGGCACCCTGCAGGAGACATGCATCTACCTGAAGTCTGCTGCAAGCAACCTGGAAGGAAAGCTGCAAGCGAAGCAGAACTTTGATGAGCGCCTGCTACGGACAGTAAAGCTGCTTGAAGCCTCAACAGTGGGACCCTCTCAGTCCCCCGGTGATGACAGGACCCTCTGTTCTGAGGACAGTGGCATTGGTGTGGACAGTGAATCCCTCAAAGAGTTCAGTGTTCTCAGCCAGCATGGAGGACAAGCAAGCTGTGATTCCTGCGCACATGGACATCTGTGCCAAAAACACATGCGTGATGGGACAGTGTCACCGGGCAGAGCCTCGTTCCATGACTGTGCACTTGAAAGGCATTTTAAAGAGATATTTTATTCATCCTTGCAGAGCAGGGAGGCAAATTCTTGTCAGAGTGGAGTACCAGAAGGCATTTCTACCATGCCCCAGCATGCAAGCTTGAGCAAAAGCTGTTCCTATAATTCCTTCCAGTCTGACTCTACTCAGGAAGGTGAACATTTCAAAATCTGTGAATCAACAGACTTTCCTTCAGATGACGACGACGACGACGACGATGACGATGATGACGATGATGATGATGATGGGAGCACCCTGGGGGAGGATGATGACAACACAAGTTTATCAGAAATGGGGAAGGATGCTCTGCTGAGGAGGGCCCTGTCTTCACCTGCAGTCACTGATAACACACAGAGGCAGTCCATCAAGAGGACGGAGAATGCAGAGACAGAGGAAATTATTCTGAAGATGAAAGATGCCATCAGTGAAAAAATCAAGTTTGTCCCAGCTACTTTTGGGCATAAAGAATGGACAGAGGATGAGAGCGGAAGAGCAGTCCTAACAAGGCCCAGTACAGCAACGGGCAGCCAGAAAACCTTCAGGAAACAACAACGGTCCAGGTCAGAAGAGTCCCTTAGAAGCCAGGCAGAGGACCCAACCCTCCTAGAGCTTCAGAGAACTCAAAAAGAGCTCAGCAAAAGACTGGAAGTGTTTTATCGAAAGAAGGATACAGGTAACAACCTGGAACCTTGGAAATCAAGAACAGCGCTTTATTTTCAGGATGAGCAAATCACATCTAGGTCCTCTAGCAAACTGAAGACGTGCCTCTCAAAAAATTTCATCATCCTGCCTAACCAGGATAAAGTCCCTTTGTTCATGGCTGATCAAAATCCTACCCTTCAGCTGGATGAAAAAAGAGGCAGGAAGCCTTTAAGAGCTATTGTGCCAACCCAGGAGACATCAGGAGGCAAAGAAATGGAGCCTTCTGGAGCACAAATGCTCAGTGGCAGCTGTGCCCCCCGACAGTCTGTCAAAAAGCTTATTGAAACATTCAGTCCTGCTGACAATCTTGTAAAAGCCACTCCTCTGAGATCTTTAGGACCAATAAAGGGCATCAGAAAATTTGGACTTCCAGTCATCCCACCCACCATTCCCATTCAGAGAGGCCTGGGACCTTTAAATTTTAAGCATCGTATTTCACCGCTAGAAGACACAAACCCTTCAGACACCAATGGAGTTTCTTCTAGTCCTCCAAATGCCTTTCCTCCTGCACCAGCTGCAGAATTAAGCAGTAAGGACACAAAAGAAGAGACTGAGGAAGACTTTGAGAACCTGCCACCACCACCACCTGAAATGTTAATGGACACTTCCTTTGACTTTTCTGAGTCTGAAGAAACTGCAAGAATAGAAGAAAACTCTTCAGAACGTGCCAAAAAGCACACCAAAACAGAATTTCATGCTACTAAGAGATCACAGGTTTCCCCAAGAATGAAAGCCTCCCTTCAGTCTATTGATTTATTGCCAAGTAAAAACATCAGTGGCCCCAGTGCAATTGCTAACAAAGGTCTAAGGAATACCGGAGCAGGGGATGAGAAACTGAAGAGGTACTCTCTGGAGCTGAACCCTACCAACGTGCACATCCCTAGCAAGGAGGAGATACTGGCAACCCAGAGAAAAGAGGCTGCGGATTTGTACAAGCAAACCCATAAAATTATTCCTCTTCAAAATCCCTGTGGGGTTTCAAAACCGCACAGCAATAGCTCAGAGAGCAATTCACCTGCAACTTTAGAGGATTCCAAGAAGCGTGGTTCTCCTGATTCGCTCAGGAGAAATGAAAAAGGCTCAGCGTTTGCCAGGAGAGTCTCCCCAACAAGAACTCCTCCTTCTTCCCCAACAACTGAGAAACGGCTTTTCAGCCCCCCAACATACCACAGACACTCTCTTCAGGCTTTTAGCAACCTGCAACCGAGCTCACCCACCATGCAGAGAAAACCCAGTCCTCCCTCTAGCCCCAGGGTGCCCAGCCCGCCCTTGCAGAAGAAGCTGCCCTCTCCACCACCCCAGCGAAAACCATTCAGCCCTCCCGTAGGGCACAAGCAAAGCTCACCAACGCCACACCGACCACTGGG